AAGCTCTAGTTTTTTGCCAAAGTTTCAAGCCATCCTCTTCAACATTTTTTTTAGTCAGCAATACTCCGACGTTGTTCTTGTTCGTTGGTGTGCAGTCGGTCCGTACAACCACTACACACGATAGCGGTTTTATCCTGGGAGGAAAGTGCCCACGTTCTCCAGTACGGTAGGCGGGCACTATTACCTTAAGGACAGCTCCGGCGACTCCGCTGCCTTTCTACAGTGTTCTACTTTGCAGATTTTATTCTCGAGTTCTACGTCCCAGTTCGCTGCTTCTTTTCAGTGCACAAAGTCCTCATTGTCAAAGAAGGCCTTTGAAGATTGGAAGCTAATTTTATTTTATTTACTGTATTTAATCCGAATAAAATTATAAATTCGGATTATTTTATTTCTTTTAGTTTCCGGGACCGTTCCTCTTCCCGTCTATTGTAAACTGTACGATCATTTCTAACAATAGATATGTTAAAAATTAGTACGGAGTATGAGTAAAGGTAACTTTTTTATAGAAATCAAAAAAAAATTTGGTATGAATAAAAAAGAAAGGAGAAAGGTTTTCAGGGACGGAAGAAGTATTTGATAATAGAACACAAAATATAAAAAAAAATTATTTTGAGGCTACTGCCTAACGAGCACAATATCTAATAGACTAATATAGCTACTTAGACTTCATTTCGGAACATCATTTATATATAGTGAAATTTGGACTAAATAGGACTAAAACATAATTACTTTCCTAATGTAGGACTTAAACTTTTTTATTCTCTAAATAGAACTTAATAATGACCTAGTGGGAGGAATAATGTCCAGTAATGATGGACATTTACTTGAATAATGACTACTTCATAATGACCAAAGGTCCTACATTGAGAAATAAAAACATATGGTCCTATATTGGGAAAGTCATAATCTTTTAGTCATATTTAGGTAAATTTCTCTTATATATAATCTGATCGTTAGCTTTTTAAAATTATTTTAGTGGTAAAGATGTACTTGGAAAACCTAAAAAATGAAAGCTCTCATTGGACGATAGGAATATACTAGAAAACATTTTACTATCACTTCACATTTTTATTTATCTAAACCATTAATTTTCCCATCATTTTTGTAATTGAGAATGCACCTTGTTGATGGAATTAACCTTTTATAAGTTGAATGCATTGGATTTTCTATTTAGGTTGTTTTTCAAGCTTTATAAGCTCAATAGATTGGGTTTTCCATTTATGTTGTTTTTGAAGGGTCATGGTTTAATTATACTCCCTCCCGAAATATATTTCTATTTATATAACTTCAGTCATTCGATAATTTTTTTTTGTGTTTAATTCTTTAGTCATCATGTGCTAAAATAAAATACATTTGTTACTAATTATTTTATGGAATTTTAAATATATTTTCAAAATATGTAAGTTATATTTTTTATTTCTATACTAATTTTTAGTTTGATTACTCATATGCGAATAAGATCCGAATTGAATGATGTTCTTCAGAACGTCGAACCAGTGGATGCTACACAACAAGGGAAAAAGGGAGCTGGGATAGGCTCCGGGCCGTTGAAGACCCGAAGGAGGATGATGCTGAAGAAGGTGAACAGAGAGCATTTAAATAGGCGGGCTTGGGCTAGCGGTCAACTAGTTGACGGGTCGTCCTTGGGAGTGACGGCCGTCACAACGTCCTTCATCATCGGTGTTGGTGATATTGGAAATTAGCCACTTATTTTGTTTTCTCTTTCGTTTCTTCCTTTATGTTGATCATATAAGTACACTCTTGTACTCTGATATTTTTAGCTCAATGAGAGAGAAAGATATTTTCTGTTATTTCCGTTTTGTTCTCGTCTCTCTCGTTGCATGTTCTGCTCATATCTTCAAATGAAGATTCATGGAGAAATTCCAGATCTGATGCAAATCAACATGGTATCAGAGCCAGATTCTTTCTTCTCCGATCAATTCTACTGATAGCTCATTGATTCCTTCTTTTCCGATTGATTCTTCGATCGTGTCTCCACTCTCTGCACGATTTTTTTGACATCTCTTTTCTGATTTCTGATGGAGAACAACAATCAGATCTCGATCACGTCAACAAATCCTCTGTATCTACATCCATCAGATCATCCGGGATTGAGTTTCGTCTCAAAGCAATTTGATGGAACTAATTTCGGATCATGGTATAAATCTATTTCAATTGCCCTATCAGCCAAGAACAAACTAGGTTTCGTCAAAGGAACCATAGAGAAACCAGTCAATAATCGACAACTTTTGAATGCTTCGCAGTGCTGCAATGACATGGTGACATCATGGATTCTGAATGCTCTCCATAAGGATATTACAAAAAGTGTATTGTACGCAAATTCTGAAGCAAAAATGTGGAGAGAGCTCGAAGAACGATTTGGTCAATCAAATGGAGTCAAACTCTATCAATTGCAGAACGAAATCTGCTCCATGACGCAAGGAAACTATGATGTTGCTTCTTATTTCACACAACTCAAAACAAATTGGGATGAATTAAACAATGTGTCTAATCTTCCTCATTGCACCTGTGGAGCAGCTCAAGCACTGAACAATTATTTGGAAGAACAGAAGCTGGTTCAATTTTTAATGGGGTTGAATTCTGATTACAATATCATTAGAGGAAACATTCTTGTGATGAGGCCATTACCTACAGTCAACCAAGCTTATGGACTGATCATTCATGAAGAAAAACAGAGAGAGGTGCAGACTTCTAGTTCCTTCAATACGGATCATGCTTCTATGAATGTTGTTGGCCATAACACTTTCAAAGCTAACTATGTTCAATGGGGATACAAAGCTAAGTACGAAAACAAGAGAGTGATCTGCAATCACTATAAAAAGCCAGGTCGCGCAGCTAACAAGTGCTATAGATTGGTTGGATTTCCTAAGGATTTCAAGTTCAAATTGAAGTCTGTTGTTTCTCTTGATCCTAATATGATGAATAGTCTGTCTATTTTTTATGTTTGCCCTAGAGCTAGGCAACACAAACTTCCCTTCCCTCATAGTCATAGTCATACTACACATCTATTTCAGTTAGTCCACATAGACATTTGGGGTCCATATCATACCAAAACATATAATGGGTTTTCATACTTCCTAACTGTGGTAGATGACTTTTCCAGAGCTACTCGGACCTACCTTCTGTCTGCTAAAAGCAATGCCCCAGAACTCATACAAAATTTTGTTCTCATGGCTCATACACAGTTTGGAATCCTTGTCAAAACAATCCGGTCTGACAATACACTTGAACTTGGGAAAAGTAAAGCCATGTTTGTTTTCTTCTCATCCAAAGGCATCCTTCACCAAACCAGTGTTAGAGACACACCCCAACAAAATGGGATAGTGAAAAGAAAACACAAACATCTTCTTGAAACCTCCAGAGCTTTGTTAATTCAATCCAACATTCCTTTGAAATTTTGGGGGGATTGTGTCCTTACAGCTACCTATCTCATAAATAGGTTTCCTACCAAAATCCTCCAAGGCAAAACACCCTATGAAGTCTTGTTCCAGAAACCTCCTAACTATAATCATTTGAAAGTATTTGGTTGCCTCTGTTATGTCTCCACTCAAAGACAAGGAAGGCATAAGTTTGATGACAGAGCTTCAGCTTGTGTCTTCCTAGGATATCCCTTTGGTAAGAAGAAATACAAAGTTTTCAACCTTACTACCCATAAAGTTGAGGACTCCAGGAATGTTATATTTCATGAGACCACTTTTCCTTTCCCGAAGAATCCTTCTACTACTCCCATTTTTCCTTCACCAAACATCCCAGACTTTGTTGAAATGGACACTTCACCGGAACACGTTCCTACTCCTCCACTTATAGTGGACCCATCTTCTTCTTCAACACCTTTTTCCACTACCACTCCAAATCCTACAAGACACTCCACAGAAGTTCACAAACCCCCTTCTTATCTAAATGATTATGTTTGCCAATCTTCAGTTGTTCCCAATCCAGTGTCAACTTCCTCACCTTTCCCTTCAGCATCTAGTTTTTGTTCTCATACCATCACTTCTTTTCCTCCTTCAAGTCACATATGCTTTAGTATTCTAACCCAAGATAGTCAACATTTCTTGCACAGTGTTACTCAAATGCAGGAACCAAGATCCTATGAAGAGGCTAGAGTTGATCCTGCTTGAGTGGAGGCTTTGACACAAGAACTGGAAGCTCTTAAACACACAAGTACCTGGACAGATTGTGATCTTCCCAAGGGAAAGAAACCCATAAGCATCAAATGGGTGTATAAGCTCAAATATAGGTCTGATGGCACCCTGGAAAGACATAAGGCTGAGGTGGATTATCATGAGACCTTTTCCCCCAAAGTCAAAATGACCATTGTACGTGCATTACTGGCTACTGCGGTTAAGAAGAATTGGCCTATGTTTCAGTTGGATGTAAACAATGCATTTCTTTATGGAGACTTAGATGAAGAAATTTTCATGAAACCTCCACCTGGGCTGATTTTGTCAGCACCCCATCAAGTTCTAAAACTCAGAAAATCACTCTATGGTTTGAAGCAGACTTCTAGACAGTGGTATGCTAAGCTCTCAAATGTTTTAAAGTCCAGGGGTTATGATGTAACGCCCCAAAACATACCCTTGAATTATTAATAGATTATTATTCAAATTAATCAAATTTGTTTTGATTAAAATAAATTGTTGTTGGGCTTTGGGCCAATAAGAAATATGTTTTGATATCCAATATCACAATCTCGATAAACCTCATAAAGATAAATCCAATATGTTGAGTATTTGTGTGGTCTTGATTGGGAACCTGAGTACCGACCCAAATCAAGAGTAAATAAAGAAATTAATTATGAAGTGGACATTAAAATGATTTATTGAAATAAATCATGATAATAATTAATATGAATTAAATATGAGAACCTTTTTGAATAAAAGTCAACTGAATCAATTATGACTCGGTCAAAGTCAAACACCCGAAAATATGATGTCATAAAAAGTATTACAAATAATTATGAAAAATATATCATTGGATGGAATTCGCCTGTCTGATCGAAACAGTGCAAACAAATCTCAATTCGGAGAAACTTGGACCAAAAAATGTGCCCCGACTAGGACCAAATTAGTCCCAATCAAGGAACTGCGTGTGTAATCAAACCAAATCGCAGCCTAGCGCACCGAGCCGTTTGCAATCTTGAAAACCTTGGCAGCTTCTTCCTCTTTCATTCTATATAAGGAGAATTTATTTTCTCCATTTCTACACAATTCTTTCTGAAAATTAGACCATAAAAATCCTGAGAGTGAGGAGAGTAGTTTGCTGTTGTTGGTTACCGTCGAAGTCACCAGAGCAAGGAGTTATTGTCGTCGGAAGTTTCGCCGTTAAATCACCGTAATCATCGTTTAGCTTCAAGGTAAGCCCGTAGATATATCTAATGACTAGAATGTTCATATAAGTCGTTTCTACGTTCATAAATGGTCATTTCGTTGAGTTTTGTGTTTGACATGTTTGAAGAACTAAGAATCATAAACCTTGAAATTATTGTTAAAACTATAAACTAATGTTACCAAAATGATCTATGAACATTGAAGAACATTTCTATATAGTTTAATTGAAGGTTAGTGACTAAAAAATGAAATCCCCGAAATTAAACCCGAGGAAGAAGACGATGAACAGTGCACGGTAACACACTACCGTTGGAATGGTAGCTAGGTACCGTCCAAACAGTATCCATCTACCGACGGAACGGTAGAATGCTACCTTTAACAATGGAGTCCTCTGGCGGTACCTGTCCACTAGCGGCACCCCCTACTGCCGGCACGGTACCTGTTGGAAGACGGGTTTACGCCTATGTCGTACTAAGCCGTGTTCGTTTTATGACAGGTTTTGATAATGCCAAACCGCCGTGACACTAACAAGGTTAAACTGAGCAAAACCAAGGCGAAGGAACATGGCATGATGAACTGAGAACCAAGAACCAAGAATCAAGAACGAAGACTTAGAATTATATTGAGTCGGTTTTAATGTGATCAAGACCGGCACAAACCTTCAAAACATGGCTCCCTAGGCTCATTTCATCAAAATACTTTTTGCATATTCAAAATGATTTTCTTAAGTCTTAAACCTGCCTGAAAACACTTGGAGTTCGCCCAAACCAAAAACCAAGCCATCTAGCGTTCGGTCTTCGGAAACCGGCGTTCGGCTTTCGGTTATCGGCGTTGGTTTTTGGCGTTCGAACCAACCAAGTGGTTTTCAACTTTTAATGATTGGTTTTTACTTCTGGGCATATTTAAATAGTTCTCCAACAAAAACGCTTCAAAAACCACCTTTCATTTTTGGTCGTTTAGTGAAAACCATGGGAAACAGCGTAAACTTGGCTAGCCGTGGTTTTCAACTAAATGACGTGGTTTTCAAAATGTTTTACTTGATTTCTTAGCAAAATGCATTAAACAAACATTTTCAATACTTAGTTTTTATTTTGGAGAACTTACGTTTTTGACATCGGCTAACGGCATGACTAAACCAACCATGGGTCTGGCTAAACCAGCCCAACAGCGATGTTGGTGCACCCAACAGCGTTGTCTGGCTTGAGTAGCTGAAAACCATAGTTTGGCGTTAAGTCTTCCAATAGCGATGTTGCACACTAGACATCGTTGTTGAGCCAAGGTTGGATTTCCAGAAACTTCTGGAACAGCGATGTAGGCCTCCCTACAGCACTGTCCAACCTAAGCCAAAAATATAGTGCATTGGCAGAAAGTTTCAGGATAGCGATGTTGACCCAGCAACAGCGTTGTCAGGCCAAAACTCCACCTTCAAAGTCAGACCTAAACAGCGATGTTCAAGTATTGAACAGCGATGTAAGGACCTGACCGTTGGAAGGAATTTAAGGCTAAAACTGTTGAAACACGGGCATGTCA